GGCATTGAACTTGCTCTCCGAATGATCTTCTTTGGAAGAGGGGGGTGGGATTTAAGAAGCTATAACTTGGACCTGATTTCAATGTGCATTTCAAACATCTTGCAATCAAATATGACTTTTTTGCTATCCCCGACCTTTCTGATAGAAACTGGCTCCTTTGTGGATTTGACCCTGAAGTTCTCCGTCAGCTTTGCAGACTACCATGCAAGAGTTACCTGGGAATTTTGACAGACGCAGACCCCGGGGTGGAGGTCTAGGTGGGGCTGGATTCTGTGTTTTCAATGAGCTCCTGGTGATGGCCATACTGCTGCCCCTGACCTCAGAGGACGTGACTCAGTTGGGTAAAGAGTGTGTGTGTGTGTGTGTGTATGTATGTGTGTGTGTGTGTGTGCAAGAGAGATTGTACTCAGAAGGATCCATGACACCAGCGGTTGCTGGGTGGCCAGAGTGTGTGTTTAAAGTTCCTGTGAAGGAAGAAGACTTTCTGCGTAGTAGTTTTTAGGCCCAATTATTGATATTTATAAAGAGAAAAATTCATTATTATACATACTGAGCCTGGGAGGCTTTTACTTCCCATGCAGGTGCCTTAAGAACACACATTTTGACTTTCCAAGAACTGGGGCTCCCTGGAACAGGGAGTGGTGAGGGACTCCTAGAGGTCATTGGTCTGGCCATTCCTGGGGAGTCAGAGACACCCACAAACAGCTGCCCTCTGCTCAGGGTCTGGGGTGAGGGAAGCCGGTTCCCCCTCTGCTCCTGCTCCCTCTCCACCTCTCACTGTTTTTCTATTTTTGTCCTGTTTAAGGTTTGTTGTCAAAGTGTAATCAATAAGAGGAGAAAATGTAGGGAAATGAATGCAGAGTGGCTAGTGATTTCCATATTACTACTTTTTAATCTTCATGACAAGAGGAATAAATGACTTAAAATGGCCTGTCCACCCAGTAGAATATTTTTATGCTTCTTTTTCCATAAATTTCCAATCAAAAAGGAGATGGAAAAGCAAGAAGCAGCCAAGGGTCCACTTTGGGATGGGAGGTGAGGAAGCAGGTGACAG